ATTATTTGTAGCTGAAGTGATTGATGCTCGAGAGGTATGTATATATGTTCCACAAAATCAGATTAGCTTACTTCTGAACCTGCAGGGCCTATTCCTGTGTACAGAAGGCATTAAAGCAGACATCCCCTGCCTGTGAATGGACAGGATACAAATCTCTCTTGTTTGCATCAAGTTATGCAACAGTCACCCATTTTAAGAAATCTTGTCTGTTTATGTGCATCTGCTGGCTTTTCACAAAGATTATTATGCCCTGGGCTTATATTCCACAATTAAACAAATTCTAGCTTCAGGTAAGACGGTATCCTTCTCTGTTAATGAAGACATTTGCGTATGTTTAGCTGCCAGGTGTCTTCTCTAGCAATTATACCCAAAAACCTAATGCTCTCAATGATAGACAGCAAACATCCCAGGTATGAGCTGTATTACTAAATCAGATAAAGAGATTACACAGATCTCTAGTACTTGAGGCTTGGTTGAATATAGACAGGGGAAGAGTTATAAGCTTTTATACAAGGAGGGTGGCAGACAGCGGGACCAGCATAGACTTGACCGCACACCTGCATGGAAGGTTTAAACACATCCCTTAATTGAAGTAGCTATCACACTCCATCGGGATACATAACCTGTTAAAAAATAAATACTGGAACTCAGTATAACTAAATTAAATGGGGATTACTGTCAGAAACAGACAACCACGTCATTGAAGCTTAGACTAAGACTTGTCAGCTAGTCATCTGATCTATGTCATTTTCCCCACACTAGAATATGGAGTGCTACAAATGGCTTTGTAATAGCAAAGAGAAGCTCTTTTCATGGCCTCTCTTGTGAAGACATACGTACCTAAACTGTATCTTGACTTTAGAATATAATGAGTTAAAGAAAATTGGGATTGTTACTTGTGTGACAAGGACAGATGTTCAGTAGTCAGAGTTATCAGTTTTGCACTGTAGCAAGCAGACCTCTGCAAATTCTAGAGGCTCAATGAAAAGCTTTCAAGTGCCAGAAAAAAATAGCCAGCAGTAGCACAAACAGTAAGTTCTGAGCTGTACAACGCAACACAACAAGCAGATAGTACTACATGGGCTTGCCTAATGATAGTTACTGTAATGCAGAAGTAGAATATTGCAACGAACACAAAAAAATAGCCACATATTCCTAGACAGACAACCTGTAGCTATGTTGCCACCTTCAACTGACATTCTTAAGAGGATCACAGAAATACCTTGATCTTGGCTTTCAAAACAGTATGAGCAAAAACCTTGTAACAACACATGTGACAATTTAAAAATAAAGCTGCATGACCATGATTTTCAAAGTGACTCCTGATTATTAACTACAATAATTGGAAAGAATCTGATTTTTAAAATTTGTTGAGAATTATCTCTGAATTTAAAGTGAAAATAATTTTTTTAAAAAGCAGCTTTAATCATATGTCCCAAACTTCTTTACTGTCAAGGGAACCTCTCATTTATAGGTCAACAAATGCAGAAGACAGCTGACACTAAGTATTGGGGCTTAGTGGGTCTGTTCTTCCAAGAAAAAAAAAATTACATAAGGATTCCTGTATTTGAACTTAAGATTGAACAGCCTTTGGACCTGAAGGGCTGGTACAGAAAGCTCACACAGAAATGTCCAAGTTCATACTCAAGAATGTAATCACATAGCTGTGAATCAACAGGTTTGAGTCATCAAATGTAAAACAAGCTGGATGGGGTCGAATCCCAGCACATATCAACAGCAGTAAAGTAACCTCACAGTATCTGTTATAATTTAATAGACTCCATATCTATGGTATCAGAACTACCACCACTTGATTCTAGAAATGTCTTTATTAGGTCACTTTGGTTTACAGAGCAATTGAAAACTGCAGTTGTAACTACTCTGCTTAGTTAATGAGACCTTCACTTTTAAAAGCTGCCAATTTTGTCTTCTGGTATGTCTTCTGATCAATGAATCTACTTTTCATTCCCAGAAGTTCCTGGGGGGAAGGTGGTAGGGGGAGTGTTACACTTTAAGAAGCACTGCCTGATAATACAGATACAAGACTTCCATTATATTACCTTCCCCGCCACCCCAAGATAACAGCTAATCTGGGGTTTTATATAAAAGAGAAGTATATTTATAAATATAATACCTGGGTACTCTGAATGAAATCTTTGATCAGTATCTTCACCACCACCAAGAGTTAAAAAAGCATTAACAAAACACCACACAAAGAAACTTCAAATTACTGCTCTCTTCATAGACATACTACAAAATGAAAATAGAAGCTGTGGTGGCAATAGCCCAGATGGCAAACACAGTGTGATCCTACCTACAGAGCACCTTTTTTTTTTTTAATTTTTTTTTCTTCAGTATTGACATGCCCCTGCTATCCTACTCATCTTCACAAACAGAAAAGAACAATCTTTCTATTTCCAGCTGAGAATACGAAAACAATACTATGTACAAAATTAAAGCTTAAGATTAGACATAACTTTATTAGGTTAGCATCAAATTATAATAGCCAAGTTAAACATTTTCTATTACTTGAATTTACTTTGTTCCACTGCCATGTAAAGTATCAGATAATCCTGAACATTAAGTTGTGCATTTACTCACCACTTCCATATGACAAACTACACACAAATACACACTTTTCGAATACATCATAAAAAAAGTTCTTCCCACTGAAACACACTATGGAAGAAGAAAATAATGCGACACAGCACAGGAAGATGTAGCTTTACAAACGAGAGATGCTAGCTTGACTACTCTAGATAAGGCCCATGAATTTGCCCATATTTCTTTGGGAACAAATTTATTAATTAAGGGGTGCAGGAAAGCATGAACACTGAATACATTTATAGTGACAAATTATATAGCACACCTGAAAATAAACAGAAATTAAAAATCATGTGTGATCAAGCAATTTGCTTGTCAATTTATACCTCATTTTTTCTATTTGTCCTGTCTTCAGAAGATGGTAAAGAGATTATTACAGTCTGGTTTTTAACATTATCTCTGCTATGCATCTTATTTTTTGACCCTATATGGAAAATACCTTCATCAAAAATAGTAAGTATAATATGTAAGGGATAAAGACAGGAACAGAACTATACTTCACTTCTCTTGTGTAAGCTTAATGTTCAAGCTGCCTAACAGAATCTGCTTGGCAGATGCTTGAGTTTCTCAAGTATTTGAACTGGCTGAGTGATGTAGGCAGCCTTATGTTAGCTAAGTTTTCTAGTACTTTCCCTGATAACACTAGCAAACAAAGGTCTGAGAGCTGTGCACCGCAGAAATCACCTAATACCAAACCTTGCCCAAAAGGCTAACTACATCCTGCATCCATCACAGTTTCCAAGACACAAGCTTTTTGCTGCACTATGAAGCAGCACTCAAATCGATCACGAGCAACCATGCACCTTCGTCCCAGCAACCCGCCAAAGGCAGACTATACTGCCATGTGAAACAGATTACGCAGGAAAGCTACAAAGCTTACTAAAGATTTTAATTTGCCTTCTTAGAGCAAATTTTCAGTGCATACGCATTGTATTGGTGCTCTGGGATCCACCTCTAATTTATACATCTCTGCCAGAAAAAAGGATCTGACGTGAGCATTAGATTTGGTTACTGATTAGCCAAACACTTTCACTATTAGAAACAATCCTGTTCTTTTGCAGCATCCTTTATCGGTAAAAACAAAACTATATTCCTTTTAACAGACTGCATGTACATAGCTGGACTGCAACCTATTCTTCTGCAGACTTCTGTAAAGGTGATGTATGTATGAATTTCAGGAAAGAAAACAGTAAAGAGCTTACAGTTTTGAAAATGGAAATAGCGGAAGCACTCATCCATTGGTGCTAAAAAATCCCATTTCACAGGAATCAGTGGTTTCCCAAAAACCAACCGTGACACTGCTATGACTGAAAGTCAGTACTTGAGTTTCACGTGTGGATAAAGAAATAAGTTTCCCGTCACACCGGCAAGGGCGGGAGGCCGAGAAACAGATTCCCCATGAATTTACTGTTTGCTCCGAATCATTTTCCTCAACCCTGTCGACTTTCTTACCAAAACTCGGCCGTGCGGCGCTGCCGGGAGGGGGACC